TTCATACTCTAGCTGTTTATTTGATTTCTGCTTGCTAGTCTTAATGGCAATAGATTTTGGATATATCAATTTTTTTATACTAACAACTATTATTTATCAGGAGGTGACTCTAAGACACTGATGTTTGTGCAAATTAGTCCTTCAGAGATGGACTTACGCGAAACCTTGAGCTCCTTGAATTTCGCAACTCGAGTTCGAGGAGTTGAGTTGGGTCCTGCTAAGAGGCAAGTCGATACAAGTGAGCTCCAGAAGATGAAAACAATGGTACTTCTTGATAAGTTTTTGCTTCCACCACTACTATTTGTATTATAAGATCAATCAACTAACTTTTAAATTCTTACAAAGCTTGAAAAAGCAAGGCAGGAATCAAGATCGAAAGATGAATCGTTAAGAAAATTAGAAGAAATCTTACAGAACCTAGAGAATAAGGTCAAAGGTAGAGACCAGGTTTACAAAACACTGCAAGAGAAGATCAAAGAACTTGAAGGTCAATTGGAACTGAAAACTAGCATGCACCACCAGTCAGAAAAGCAGCTCTCACAACTTTCAGATAGATTAAAAGGGAAAGAAAAGATTTACGCTTCTTTGCAACAAAAGGTTGCCATCATTTTAAACTATTATAATTCACACATGCCAATTGTTGTTGTTAATACTAACTATAATCTGTTATCTGGTAAAGGCTAAAGAATTAGATGCCAAGCTTAAAGATCGGCAACAGTCAGAATAGACTAGTTACCAGCAAAAGGTTACACTAAATGGAATCTTCTTTATTGGCTCATTTCTTCATCCTGCTTCTTGCTTTTGACATGAAATAATTTGATTCAAAACAGATTAAAGATCTCGAAAACAAGATGAAAGAGTGAGTACGAGAATCCGAGTCCCACTCACTTGTTCTTGTACTCAAGGTTGCTAATATTTTAGTAATGTTGGTTTATATATATAGGAAAAACATAAAGCTTAACATTTTATGCGTCTTTTCCAGAGTAAGGAAGTTGAGAGAAAGCTGAAAGAGCAAGAAGAAAACCCAGAATCCATTTTGCTTCATCAAAAGGTCATCTACATATATATAACATACCTCTGTTTTCACTCACAATTTGTCTGGCATATATTAATGCTCTTATTATCTGAAACCATACCCCATTTTCAAACTAAAAATTACGGACGAGTTCCAAATGATGATAGTTCATTTACTTTTCTCATAAGAAATTTGCTGGACTGAATTGCCTTTGCGTGTAATATCTTAAGTATGATAATTTTGTAGCAGAATAAGGAGCTGGAAGCTAGGCTGAAGGAGCAAGAACAACAGTTACAATGTGCACTAGCTAGCGACTTTGCCGATGCGATAATGGTCAGTCCTAGTCTAGGAAAATGTAGAAGAGATAACGAGTCAATGAATGAAGCGGAACTTCATATCCTGAGGAGTTCAAACTCAACCAGTAGCCGTCCGTTGAGCCGGGGTCCAAACATCCAAGAGTTAGTGATGTAGTCCACGAGCCAAGAAGGTAAAGGTACTCTAGAAGTGGTGAAACTGATAACAGCAATATGGTTATACCTGCTTCTTTGGCTGATAAAAGGTCAAGAAAATCTGATCCATCTAAGATTGCAAGGGTTGTGAAAACAGCAAAACCAGGTAGCATAGCTGCTGCTCAGGGACATGGAACCTTGGCTTACAAAAAGGTCATTAATAGAGCTCAGGTCCAAGCAGCAATGGAGAGAGATACCAAGAAAAAGATTTGGTCAAGATAAGTTAAGCCAAGAAAAAAGGATTTATATGTAACTTCTACAGTAGCATACACTTCACTAATCTTTAGATGTTATTTCTAGTTTGTTTATGATCTTTAAAGGTGTTGTATATCTTTCAAGTAACATGATTAATCATTTATGTTTGTGTTTTGTTCACTTTTTCTCATCGATTTCAAAAAAATATAATATATGGTTGTATTCCGTTTTTATTTAACTAAGATATGATCACTTTTGTTTTTATTTAACTGTCGTTAATAGTTAACAGATTAGGTGACGTGATACTTTGGTATAATCACACATTTGGTCCCTATTGTTTATATATTCTCTCAATTTAGTCTCACTTTAATAAATTAAAATAAAATTAATATTCCAATTGAATGATGTCACGTGTCACCATTCGATTGGATGACTAACTTTATTTTAATTTATTCTAATTTATTCCTACTTTTAATATATTTTATGTTAAAATATTTTGAAATTAAGATAATAATAAAGTATTAAGTTAGAATAAAATAAAGTTAGTTCCTCAGCCGAATGGTGAGACATGGCACGACATATGGTACTAGTGACACGTGGCATCATTCGTTAAGAGGATTAATTTTTTTTTAATTTATTAAAAGTATGATTAAATTGAGAGTATGTGTAAATAATAAGGACCAGTTGTGTGATTATATCAAAATATTTAACAACAATTAATTCATGATGATTATATTTTAATTAAATAAAAACGAAAATGACTATATATTATGTTTTTCGAAATCAGTGAAAAAAAGTAGACAAAACACAAACATAAATGATTAATCATGTAGTTTACTCGTTTTCCAATTTATTTTCTTAAAATTGTTTGTATTTTCTCTCAAACCGCAAAACTTCTTCTTTAAAAATGGATTAATAAATATAAAAAATTAATTATTTATTATTATCAAATAAGAAAAATATTTTTAAGGAAATATAACAAACTCATTTTAAATAATAACAAAATATAACCAACTCCCCTTAAATAATAATAACAAACAAAATCCGTATCTTTATAATTCATTTTTAAACCAAATCTTTATTAATTTTATTGATTATTATTTTCTAATCAAATTGAGAAATATAAAAATTTAATTACATATTAATGCTTAAATTAAGAATTTATATTTCTTAAATTAAATTCAAATCTAAATAATTTTTAAAACAATATTATTATATATTGATAAACCCTAATCAATTTTTTTCATTCTCGATGTATTAATATCCTATAGGTTCAGTTAATGTTAGTAGTAGATCAAAATCACATTTGATACTATAAGTCATAAGCTATCTCAAGCAAAATATTGCGACTACCAAAATTAAATGAAAAATTTGTGATCCGAAACAACTTTATACACTTCATGACATAATACTTTTGTCTAACAATATCTTAAGAGAATATAAGACAAGAAAATATCAACCTTATATGAGTCATAAGTTGATCTCTAACAATTTATTTGAACACGACCATGCACTTTACAGTCTCTTGTTAAGGACCCAAAGATATATCTTATAATAAGAGAGATAAAACTCATTTTAATCACTCATATCTTATTGTATGATTCTTATTATGTTTAACTTTGATAATTGTCCAATTAAAAATAATGTTTAATTACTTGTGTTGAGAACTATGGTAATTTTAAGTCTAAGGATTTAATGACACAATTGTTAGATATTATCTTATGACTTTGATCATTTATCAAGCTCAAAATAAGTCGATCTAATATGAATAATCAATAATATTATTCAAAGCCATTATTATATAATAAACATGTAAATTATGATAATAATATATTTATCAATCAAAATAATATACTCATAAAATAGGTCTAGAAAAATTATCAGCACATGTAAAACTTAAATCTGAAACACTAAAATCTAGGATTTCAAATTACGGTCCAAAAATATAATAATACCTGCAAAATAACGATAACGCCGCCGTCCGAATTACTCGTTACACTCGCAATAGCGCTTAATAACACCCGTTACACTGGCAAAATGCCAAAACACTGATGAATGATGAGAGACCAAAACGTTTATCTCGTTCCAGTGGGGGCATCTTAACGCGACATATCCTATCTCATCTGCCCCCACCCCTTTCGTTGCCAGTTGCCACTCACAACACAACACAACAAAAACAACTCTTGCTTTTCGTAAGGAGAAAAAACTATATGCAATGAATTAACGATGCTGACATATGTATGTTACTATCATTATTCCAACACACATTTACTGATTATTTTTCACCCTAAATCAAAATTCAACCCGACACAAACATAATTTTTTTTAAAAAACTTGATTTAAACATGGATTTTTTTAAAAAGACCGACCCGATCAAATCAAGCGGATCAGAACCCGTCGAATTCACCGAGATTAATAAAAAAATCCATATATTTAGTGAACTTACAGAAAAGTTAAAAGTGGTCAATAAGAAAAGGGGAAAGGCAATTTAAGCGAAAAAAGCAAACAGAATCATAATGTGATTATACTGCCGATGAGTAGCAGGTAGAAGAGTATCTCCCTCCCCAAGAAAAGAAAATGGCTAAACGAAGCGTTCCAGACAAAAGTAAGCTTTACATGCTTTTCCTCTCTCTCTCTCTCTCTCAATTCAAATTATTTCGACACTTTTTCATTCAACAACACATTTAACACCGCAAATGGCGTGTAGGGGTTTCGCCAACAGCTACTCCCTACGGCCGTGGTGTATGTTTCATATATACATTCGATGACAATCTTCAGTAGCCTCAGCTAATAGGCAGAGATTGAAACACACTGAGACAGTGAGTCACTGACTCAACATGAAACAAATCAAACATCTACCTCTCTATATTTCCACTTTTAATAAACACTCCTGTGTTCTTATCACAGATCCCAAAGCTTTCAATTAAAATAGTTCCCAATCAACCATAAGACAAAAACAAATCTACATGTATACATAGTAGAGCCAAGTATAGCTTTCACTTTCATCTTAATTTCAGCTTCTGGCTTCTGCATATAATCTTTTGTAGAAACATGCAAAAACCAAACAGCAGATTCATCAAAAGCTATACCTTAAAACACAATAAAAAAGAAGTATAAATAATGAAGTGACCAATAGTGACAAATATTTTATTTAAATAAATACTAAAAAGAAAAAAATTTAAACATTAGTTTTTCTCAACGTTTACATGTTGATTTTTATCTTAACGAAACATTTTAAACAGACAATGAACTAAAAATGGGTGTTTTTAGAAATATTACTACTGTTTTCTTTTCTTCTTTCATATCTTCCCTTTAAGGCGGTGTACCTTTTTTGATCGTCTTTTTAGTGTAACGTGCTGTAATGATGCAAATCATTCCATGCTTGAACCCCATTCCAGTTGCTTGTTGTTGCGTTATCATTGCCATTGCCGCTAGTGGTCGGAGTCGGAGTTACCGGTGCATAAGAATTCCCAAAGAACCATTCCGTGGCGGTTTCATTGCTCGTGCCTTTTCTTTGATTCCCAGCTGCTGATATTTCAGGTTTAGAAATCTCCAGATTCTGGAACAAAATGGGTTGAAGCCTTTCTGCTTCGTTAATCTCAACTGGAACGGAAGAAACAGTGGCGCTGTTTTCCTTTTGATTCTCTCCACCGAAAAGCATAACCAATCTTTGTTGCTGCAACTTCCAATGTAAATCTTGGTTTATGGAACTTAAAGACTCAATTGAAGAAGCGAGGCCACTACTAACGTTCAACGAACCCATCTCCTGAATTGCACCACTAAGGCCACTGGTAACTGAAGATAATGGATAATTGTTAAACCCCGTCAAAGAGGTGGAGTTACCAGCTGGATCGAGATTGAAAGAAGGGCTACTAGTACTATCTCCAAATGAAGAAAACTGGTTATAAGTACCAGTAGCCGGTGAGGGATCGAGTCTAGGAAACGACAAGCCACTGAGCTGAAAATCTATGGCAGGAGAAAGGCCATGAAAGAACTTCAACTCACCCATCTCCAAAGACGAGTCCTTGTAGTCACCCGAAAGCCTTGAAGATGACTTCAGCTTCTTGTTCTTACGGCAACCGCCACCGATCGGAACGTTACGCAGAGCCCCACCTTTGGTCCAGTACCTCCTACAAGTCTTGCAAAAATGCCTGGGTTGGCTGAGGCTGTAGTTGTTAAAGTAGCAGAATTTGGTGTTGGGAGAGTCACATCGTGGACACTTTGGGGCCGCTTGCTGGTCTTGCGGCTGCCTTGTCGAACCTGTTTTCCGGTTGCCACTGCTTTGGTTTTCTTTCTTGGTAGCATCTGGTTTTGCACTGGGATTATCATGAGACATCATGGAAACCAGAAAAACAAAAATGATACTGTGGGTTGGTTTGTTTCAAGGATTTCCTTTTTTCTTTTTTGTTTCAGTTTCCTTTGGCAAAGGTAAAGATGGTCAATTGATTGAATTCATGCATGGGGAAGACGATGTAGAGAGAGAGAGAAATGGAGGCTTGTGATAATCATCAAAGAAGGGTTTGGGGGTGATGGGTTTTTTTTTAGGGTTGGATCTGGTGGAGATTGGAATAAATAAAGAGTTTGATGAAAGACAGAGAGAAGGAATGAAGGAAGAGAAAATTAGATCTCACTTGAATAACAAGCGGACAAAGAAACCATATCATCTGAAGCTACTTCTGGCAGGGTCTCAGTTGAGACGACAGAGATGAGCAATGAAACAAAGTTCGGATACATTGAAATATAATGAATTTACGAGATAATGTTGTGAGAAAAAAAAAATCACGAGGTAACGCTCTTCAATAATTAATTGTTGAGATAGGATGTTTGATACAGGTCGAATGAAGGTCACCGGGTGGTCTGACATGCCGTTTGAGTTTGGGAGAAACAATCAAACAATAATTGTTTGGGTTAAATGCAAATTTGGTTCTCATAACTTTGCACTCTCATACATGTATTTATTTTAGTCACAAACAATTATAATTTAGTCATACATGTTTCTTGTTTATCCTATTTTAGTATGTATTTGTTTTAAAATTGATTATTGGGATATCTTGTTTTGTATTTAGTATGTATTTATTTTAAAATTGATTATTGGGATATCTTGTTTTGTATTCAATAATTTTTATTTGTTCTACGTTTATTTATTTCGAGTATTTTTCACTATTTTTTAGTTTTATTTTGTTTTATTTTATATTGGAAAAATTTGCGAAATAATATCGTTGGTAGGGAGAAATAAATACATACTAAAATAGGATAAACAAGAAACATGTATGACTAAATTATAATTAAACATAAATACTAAACAGTGGCTAAAATAACATGTTTACAAATTTCATGGCCAATTTCCAAAATTAAGGAAAATATATAAAACACATGAAATCAGTGATTAAAATGAAATAACTAAAAATATTATGATCAAAATGAAGCATACACAAACTTGACAGAATAAACAAGTAGTGACTAAAATATAATTATTAAAATATAAATGCCTGAAACAAAACATTAAAAATGTCACTAAATGATTAAACAAATAGATTACAAAGCACAGGGGACCAAAAATGCTATTATCTCCTAAATATTAAAACACACGTATGAGAGTGTAAAGTTGTGAGGCCCAAATTTGCATTTAACCCAAACAACTAGTGTTTGACTAAGATGAGAACACTACATTTTGTTTGTGAAAAACCCCAAACCCCAGCATTGGTCGCCCAGACCACCTGGCGACCTTCATTGGTCGCCCAGATCAACTGGCGATCTATATTCGAACTGTAGTAAATATCCTATCTCAACAATTAATTGTTGGAACGCGTTATCTCGTGAATTTTTTTTTCTCACAACATTATCTCGTAAATTCAGCCCATTGAAATATATCATTTAACTCCCATTTTTCTATTTGTATATTTCTATTAACAGAAACTGTAAGGGAACTTCTTTTACCCATTTTTTTTATTAAAGTAAGGAAATTATAAAATATTATATATTCTAAATATTTTTAACTATATTTGAATTCGTAATTTTTTTTATTAAGAACAACAATAATTCCCTTAACTATAAAGATAAATTGGTTCTCGTTCCTTTATTAAGCGTTTTGTTAAAAGTAAATCTGGTAATATATACCGTGATGTTTGTATAAGTAATATTTAAGTTTAGTATTACATGTATGACAGTAAACTTTATTATGAATAACTCTTACGATGGATCAATGGGTTGGAGAGACCTTGTTCTAATTTTTTTTCTATATAAGTTAATTATTTGTTTTATTTATATTAATAATTTATTTTCAATATTTTAAAATTTAATAAATTATTTCATCAAAATAAAATCATACATTCAATCTTATTTATATTGTTATATTATACAATTATATTTGTTTTAATAAATAAATAGTTTGCGGGCATTAAATTATCTCAGTAATTAGAGAGATAGTTGTTATTTTTAGAAATAAAAAAATTTAAATATCAACAACCTTCAATATTTGAAAATCTCTAAAATAAATACTATTATTTGTAAGATTAATAAAAAAATAATAAACAAACGATTCATTTTTTATACCAATAACTAATGGCCCGAGAATGTTGACTCAATTGATTACTTACAAACCATCATCAAAAGGTTTTTCATTTGAGGAATAAAAAAGAAGCATAGTGATTTTTTTATATAAACTTCCTAAAGAAGCATGAGAATTCCTATATCTATTTTATATTATATCTTTGTTATGTCATAATTGTTTTAAAATGATTTTATTAATTAAATTTAATAAGTAAATAATTTTAATTTTATATAATTTATGTGTAAAATTCTTAGCTTATCAATAACATAAATTAATAATACAATTACACATCAGATAAAAGAATTGCCACTTCTTAAAAAGATAAAAGATATTAATTTCATATGAGAAAAGAAAAAGTATTATAATAAGATGTGGCGCCTTAAATTCTATCAAAAAATTTTCTTGGAAAACGATAATGAATTTATGATAAATAATATCATAGTAACACTTTGATTGACTAATTATACATCAAGCACATCATATGATAGGGTAAACAAGATGAACAATTATGATGATAATCTATAATGAGAACGTTACGAGATTAAATGGAAGAGAATGTTACATTTTTAAAAAAAACGAAAAACATGAATCCCACATAAAAAAATTAAATTAAGAAAACTAATATAAATTTAATAATATAATTAAGAATTTTTTTATTCAACAATCTAGTATCAATTATATAATTTAATAATTAATAAATAGTTAAGAAATTAGATATTATCTCTTTAAGTTCTAAATTTGAGTATTAAACATACATAGATATAAACATTTATTGTCAAATGATTGAAAATCTAAATATTATTCATATTACTCCCAAATTTATAGAAAAAAGTGTAAACTATCATATTTCTGTATTTAAATTTTTAGAAGTATATATATTAAAATAAAATAAAATGTAGCACTAAAAGTGGAAACTAGGGTATATAGTCGTTGTAGTAGGGTTGAGTCGGAGAAAAAGAACATAGTAAGAGTAGCAGGGGTGGTGTCATTGCTGCCTCAGAACTGCAGCCCCGAGCATTGTGTAATTCCTTGCCTTGTAATGTCCAGTTTAACCTCATTTGTACACTTGTTAAACTTTTTAAGACCCGCAAACGCAACGAGCCATGATTGATTTACTTATCATATTGTTTTTCTAAAGGCAAACTGAAGTTGGAATAATTTATGAATACGGCTGAAGGTAATTTGATGGTATTAGGGTTGATAGTAGAGAGAAACAGCGTGCAAGTGGCAGTTAAAGAAGGGAATAGAACCAACCAAAATAAGGGCAAAGACGTCAAGGGAAAAAGGGTGAATGCATGGATGAGAAGAAACGTGGAGTGCCGTAACCAAAATTACTATTCCACTATTCCAGATACAGAACAGTTGGCTACACACATTCATCCCAATATGGATGAATAAACCAACCACACACCCAGAGGAACACGTGATTGAAGAGGGACGGCCATGCCTCAATTCCCGTGAGACCCAAACAACATAAATAAATAAATAAAAATCTCCCGGTCACGTGCCTCCCCTTCTTCCAACTTCCAAGCCGTCGATCTGAACTATTATATATATATGGGATAAGATAAGATGGTCAGTTGAAATGTTTGTCAGAAGGTAAACATGTACTTGGAGCGTTTAATAGTCAGGGTAGCGACCAATTAAAAACCAAACAATACAAAACACAAAGCTACAATGATCCATGTCAAAGAGGTTGGTGAAATGTTAAGTCGCAATCAAATCGGGTCTTAAAAAATCAGAACACACATTTATTACTCAAGAAGAATGACATTTTATGATACTAAGTAGAACATTTTTATATATATTTTATTTGAAGATGGAAAAGAGAGATTTTGTGCTCTACTATTGTCGGGTGGTACATGATTGCTGATCATGCAATGTACTGAACCGCACCCCGTAACTCATCTCCTCTGTTTCTCGATTAAATTAACCGGCCTGTCCCAGTTGTAGGGACGAGCGTTCTCTATCTTAGGAGGGCGTTTCCGTCATTTCGCAGCTAATTGCTTGTGAACCGTTAAATCGCTCTCGTAAACTCACGAGTCTCAAGGCTTGACATTTTGGGATCCAAGTAACTTTAATTCCGCTTCCCTATTTTAAGCCTTACAATTTATTAATTATTTATGCAAACCAAAATGTAGAGGCTTGATGATTTTTGCCGGACCTTGATAGCTAATAATAGCAGCCCTTGATCTTTGGGCTGATGCCGAGTTATTTGCTTCCTGGATTGGCCCTTTTTCTTGATGTAGACATGAGTGTGCTAGAGAATCGGACCGTATTTGTATGTATACCTAATAAGGTTCCAACCCAAAAGACGGCATTCATCATATTAATAATGTTCTTCTGTGGTGTCCCAAAAAAGATTTCAATTACATGTTTTTCTTAAATATTTATAAGGATAAACTACTCTAAATATTATTAAATTTTAATGCTTATATCAAGTTTATCATTCAAAAATTAATATAGTTATAGACTTATAGCACTAAATTTTAATTTATGTTTCAATTATATTATTAGATTGATAACTCGTAAATGACATGAAAATTGTTGATACGATGACTAGATGATAAAAATAACATTATTGTAATTGAAAAAATTGATAATACAAAAAAAAAAGTAGTATTGAGTGCAGAACTCACCATTTCTGTCTTCTAAAAACGATAGACAGTGGGTTGATTGTGTTAGAAAAATTCAATAATTTTAGAACTTTGAATGAAAAATTGATCCAAACGTTATTCATCAAAATGTAGAATCAATTGTTGGTTTGTACATGTGCAGACGTGCACAATGTGAGTAACATAAATATTTGAATCGACCAGACTCTTTGTGAGCTTGCGGATATTTTAAACCAAATGTGAGATATTTTTCTCAAATAACATATCTTTTCAAATTTTGTTTTGGAATTAAAAAGATAAATATTAAAAGGTTCTTTTAATCAAAACAATAATTTTGGAAATTGATTGGTTGCTTGATTCTCATTAATGCTTCATTAGGTCAAAAATTTCCAATTGTTCACAATGTAAAATCCCTATAAATATCGTGTAAACCTACTAGGTTAAACACAATTCAAAACAACTCAAAAACAATTCAAAAGAATTCTTTTCTCTAGTTTTGGTGATAGATGAAGGCAAGATAATAGTTCGTGATCTCTGCAGAAGTGCA